GAACAAGCTGCGAACCAAGTTTGGGAACCACTGCTCTAGACGCAGAGGCTAATGGAAGGCACTTCATTAATTTGTAATGGGTCACGCTAGATGCCCAGTAGGCATAATGTCTATACGCCTCTCACGGGTCCCATTGGGATGGCAGGAAGGGTCCCAGTGGCTGGCACCATAGTTGTCCATATCAGGGTGGTTGAGGGCCCGATGGACTGTACAGCTGTGAAGGCCCAGACTGGTAATGGGCACTATAGGGTGCATGAAAGGAGCGATGGGAAACAAGCTCCTCCTACTCGCTATCAGACTCTCCACTGGACAATGGTGGTGCATAGCATAGTGCTGGTGGTGACTCCCGAGTTCGGGGTAGACTCAGTACCGAGCAGCGGAGACTCAGGTACATTAGATATTGTAAAGTCTTTCAAGCATCTGAACTCCTGTGTTGCTGGGGAGGTCAATACCAGCGATGGCTGCTGGTGCGGAGACGACAGTACTGACCAGGTCAGCAATGTATGCCAGGCTAAACGCGCCAGCGTTGTTTGGCATACCATTGATGGTACTGAGGCATTGCCCATACAGAGGATTCTTCCCCTAAGCATGGTCTCGGTCTTTATCTCTGCCAGTCAATACCATAGCTTCAGTGCCTGTGCCCATCAGATTTTTAGGCATGTCAATGCATCCTGCTGAGACAGTACCGTCTGAGATCTGGGTACCATGTTTGGCCAGCTCCAGTGCCATTGGTACGGACGATACCGAACATGCCAGGGATCTTTTCCAGCTGGTTTGGGCTCATTCTGGGGATTCACAGCTCTCTTTTTTTGAAGCCTTATGTGAGTGTCTCATGGTTTTAGTTCACCACCTTTGGATTTGGAGGGCTCCTGTGAAGACTCCCATTTGGGTAAATCTTGGCATGGGTCTGAAGGAGGTTGGAGAGCTGCCTCCATTAGAAGGAGTTTAAATCTGAGCTCCCTGTCTTTTCAAAATTGCGGCTTCAGTTGCTGACAAAAAACACACTTCTGGGGTTTTCCCCGAGGCAACGGACACTATAAGAATGTCCGTCCATTACAGGGAAGGCCTCTTTACATGAAAGGCATCTCTTAAACCCCAGTGAACTAGGCATACCCTGGAGAAAGAGAAAGAAGAAGATAAAGTTTTGGGGTTTTTAAAAACAAAAACAAATATAAAAAGATTAGTAACTATTTAATTTTGAACAACAGAGTCAACGATCCGATGAACAGACTGCTAATACCTCCATCTATAGCCAGGAGTGGTTGAGAAGAAACTGAGGGTGGGGCTGAATGCACACACTGGTTAGCTTCATGGCAGAGCATGAAGAAGGGACAGCATATGTGCAGGCCAAACAAATACTGCTATCCAAAGTTCTCTAATCAGCTGCACAGGGACGCAAAAACACCTATAGTGGATCACTATTCGAAGAAGAAGGAGTGTTACAATTATATTCTTAAAATGTGTTTAAGCACAGTCGTCCTTAGAAAAAGGAATGTATACTTGATTCTCTGACCAGCTCTGTCTTCAGGCAAAGACAATGAAGGTCCATATTTACATACCAGGTAAACAAAAATATCAAGCTAACAAGTGGGGGAGAAGGTAGCATGGCTTCTATGCCCCAGCAGGATAGAAAAACTAAGTCTGGGTTTTACTTTTCAAAGAATACATTGCAAAGGTTTACTGGTCTATACAGACAGGTGGACTGAAGGTCAAGAGATAAGCAATTGAACCAACTGATTACACACAATATTACTATATTATCGAAGTGTACGGAGCTAATGAGACACCGGTGATTAATAGCATTGTGAAATGTATGTATTAATACAATATGAGGAAATATGGATACTGAATGATATTATACTTTAAAGTCTATGGCCAAACATGGAGAAACAGGTTTCCTCAGAGATAAGAGAAAAGTTAGCTATCTACCAATTAAATTAAGCAAGTTGCAACCAGAAACAATGGAAGCCAAATTTACATAGAAATCAGCAAGGAAGTGGGGAGTCCACAGGAAGGGAAGAACAGCATGAAGTCATCCTGCTTCTTGAAACAAAGTCACTGAAGTTTGGAAGATATAAGCAAAGGCAGAAACCATATTTGGGATCCATCACCAGGCAGACAAGGGAACAGAGCTCTTGCAAGCTGAGAAAGATGTGTCCTTCAACCAAGGGTGGGGGAGGGAGTCTCTGTCTCTGGGAAATGACTATAGGTAAGAAAAAACATCTTGAACAAACCCTGTACCTTGCTAGATTAAGTTTTAGATTTTTAGATGTGTGTTTTCACTTCTGTTTGCTAGTAACCCTTTCTAACTTTATTTCTTTTATGTGCCACCACTTAACCTAAATCCTAACGTTAATAATTTGGTTTATTTTTACTATGAGAAAACTCAGTGCTGTGTTTAAGCAGAATTGTGCACTTATCCCAGTTAAGTTAATAAGCTGTGACGTGCTTGTGTGTCTTTAGAGGAACAAACAAACATTATTTCTCTGAACTGCCCAGCAGATGGCTGGACATTGCAGAGCACACAGGTCTGGGGAAATTCAGGACTGGGAGTATGTTTGGGTCACCTTGCGGGAAGTAACCCAGGCTGGTGGAAGCCAGAGTGGGGCTCTCGGGCTATACAGGCTGCTGAGCTCAGAGCTGCTGAACCAGGTCTGTCTACCACACAACCACTTCAGGGTTTGACCAGCATGCTTGTAGGTTGGTTGTGAACATCCCAGGCTGGAAGCTACAGAAACAAAGCATTGTAAGGCACCTATGGTTGCATGGCAAATGGTGTCACAACCCCTCAACTGGTCTGGACTGCACCCCTGAAGACCAGGACAATCTGCCCCGATTCACTGTATGATCTGGTATAAAACCCTTAATCTCGGTGTGTCTCAACTTCCCCATTTATAAATAAAAATAACAATTTTTCCTCCTTTATAAAGCATTTTCAGATCTATGAATGAGACTGCAAGTTATTATTATTAATTATTAATACTCCAACCTTATGTTCTGAATGTACAAATTGTGAGAACTGATAGATCAAATAGATTTGATATATCACTGTTTGTGACTGTTCAATGTAGAGAAAATGCTTTTAAATCCAGCCAAAATAGCTGACAGAACACATATATCTTGCTGTATAAGGTGGGCTAGTAACACGGGTCCAAGAAGATGATTTACTACCTGCTTTTCTACACTACTGACTATCATCCCTCAATGTGCTGGGTCATCCTGTAACTCTCTTAATTTTTTCCTCTTAATGTAATCTTTCAAATAATACACTCTGAGCATGCATCATTCTAACAAGAACACATTAATCAGAGCAACAACTTTGATAATTTATAGCATTACTAAAAAGATTATACTTTTGGGGGGAAAAGGTCTGACATCTGCAAATAAATTTCAGTGAGAGAAAGTACCATAAGATTGTCACAGGGCACATCTTGACAATCAAACATTGTCATTGTCCAAAAATACAGTTTGACTTGGTAATAAACACAAATTAAATGGAAAGGAAACATTTAAGTTTCCTAAGATTCAGTCAACATGCTGTTATACATATTCCCTATATTTACAATAATTTTCATATTTATCTTAAAGTAATTTTGTTTCTCTCCACGGAAGAAAGTCTAAACACTTCTACATACAGAACTCCTGACTTGTTTTCTCTTTGATTCATTAAAACAGCCCATAAAACAGTTCAACCATAATTAATGTATCAACGAAACAAAATAAAAAGTAGGATAATTTTATATAATTTCTACAAATTGAACTGCATAAAAACACCACCTCATTTAACAAAAATCAAATACTGTTTGATGTGTAAAATGGAAGAAACAGCGGATCTAAAAATTGGACAAAAGTTATTACCATGATCAATTTATGTAATATAGCAAAATGTGATGAATGAGAAGTAAAGCAGTTTTAAATAAGTGTGTTATTATAATTTTATGCAGAAATCCTTACAACAGTGGTCATTGAAATGTTATTGATACATCAAAAGAATACATAGTACAAATAAAGCTGTACTTTAAAGATGATTTTTTTAATGCTGTTAACTCAGGCCCAAATGACAATGAACTATACTACTTTACAAAGAACATTACACTTTTCAGATTTCACCATCGTTTAATTATTTGTTGTTCTGAAAAAAATAAATCTTTCCAATTATATCACTATCATTTTCACCAATATGGGATTGTTCATTTCACAGACAAGAGCTAATTGTATATGGGAATTCTCTACTATTTGAGTGACAGATTTATAGGCCGTGTAGCATAAAACCACCCCTCCCCCAGTCTGTGGAGGTTTATGTATGCAAAGTCTCTTCAACTAACAACCTGCCGGCTGCTTTTTAGAACCTTGTGGCATGACAGTTATTTTAGTCATATTTTTTCCCATGAGAAATCAAAAGACTGTAAAACCTATTAGTGCACAGAGTAAGAACTGTACATTTTTTTCCAACATTAGAATCAGTATAATATACATTTGCTGCGTTTTACAGGAAGTTTCTGTACAAACACTAAAGCTCCTTTTAATTAAAATATGTTCATTTTTCTTAGGTAAAATTTAAAAGCACCACTTTTTATAAATTGTAATTAAAAAACACTGCATGGAACAAAACTCAGCTTATTTTTAACCCAACTGATCTTAAAATTTAGCTTGCTTATGAAGTATAAATACTATTCATATGCATCAGTGTTTCTAGGATCAGGCCTCAGAAACACAGTTTGGTATAAATAAAGATTGTGGGGTATTAAAGAAAGTTGATGACCTTATTATAAAACAAAATCTCTAACCTACTGATGACTGAAATTGAAACGTATATTAAAGATGTAATAATAAATGCATCTGCTACAAATAAATGCAGAAAAATATGTCCTTGTGTGACAAAAAAGGCTTCTGATGAATGAAAACGTTTAAGAATTGCATTTCTTAAACAATTAAGTTTTGAACTATTTACAGAGACAATTTTTATTATAAATACAAGATTATCCAAAAAAAGTCCCTACCTGCAAAGGAATCATTCTATGGAGCTTCAGTGCCCCCTTCTGGTGGACTCTGGCAAAGCAACTACCACAGTAATCTTCCCCACATTCTAAGCATACCTTGAACAAAAAGACAGATTTCAGAGGAGCCGTGTTAGTCTGTATTCGCAAAAAGAAAAGGAGTACTTGTGGCACCTTAGAGACTAAAATTTATTTGAGCATAAGCTTTTGTGAGCTACAGCTCACTTCATGCATCCGATGAAGTGAGCTGTAGCTCACGAAAGCTTATGCTCAAATAAATTTGTTAGTCTCTAAGGTGCCACAAGTACTCCTTTTCTTGAACAAAAAGTAACAGCAGCAAAAATGGGTTCATGATATACAGTTACTGCTGAGGATATTTTCCCTTATTCATATTTTCCAAAATGTTACAAATAAAACTTGAGGAAATAAAATTATATTTTTTTAGGGGGTTCCACTAATTAATGTATACACGCCTCATATTAATTTGGTCATAATTAGACATTTTAAAAGAGGATTATTTTAAATTAATCCAATCCAAAGCCCATTGGCTAGCTTTCTATACTCAAATATTAATACTTTTGCTGCCATCTACTCACCAGTAAAGCATTTTTGGCCTCACACTGTCCACATGCCTTCCCCTTCATTTTAGGTTTTTCAGGGATTGCAACATTTGCCATTTTATGTATAAATGGCTGTTTCATTGGCTCTGGAAAAATACAATGGAAGGCAAAAAAAGAGATCAATATTTTATAAGACATTAAGCATGTATTCTGACTGATGGGAGTGGATATTTTGGTTCCATATACTTCTTTTGAACCCCTTAAAATTCAGTATGTTAAAGTCTTCAACACAACTATTTAAATGTTCTTAAGAAAAAAATATCATCATGCAGCACATAGGAAAATAAAATTTAGTAAGGCTATTAATTTTAATTTTAGGCTTCTTAGTGGTGGTAACTATAAACAGTAAAGGTTCTTTTTTTCTAAACTATGAAAAGTATCTTCCAAACTATTTAATTAACAACCTCTAAGGAACACATAAAATATTAACATATAATAATATTTTATTTTACTTGGTGAATACAAACATCACTTTACCATGAATCTGTTCTTTGAGTATCTTCAATTTCACTTTTCCTGAAGAAACCTATAGTGAAACATTTATACATGTATATACAGAGAAAAGTAAAAGAATTATAAATAAATATAAATACAAAATATAGCCACTGAAGTATGCATGTTAAAATGCTAAGTTAATGACAAAAAAATATATTTGACTAATGATTTTCTAAAAAATGATGTTTTCATTTTAAAAGATACAAATAAGCAATGTTTGTCATATTCATGATTTCTGTGACAAAAATCATGAATTTTACCGGGTTTTCATAAAAAGCATGGTCTTTGTTACCCCAGCATGACATGATCTACCAATGTGATGTGACTGTGAAAAAGGCAAATGCAATCCTAGAATGTATCAGGCAAGGTATTTCCAGTAAAGATAGGAAAATATCGATGCCATTGTACAAAGCACTAGTAAGACCTCTTCTGAAGTTCTGTATACAATTTCGTATACAAAACCCATGTGTAGCAAAGATTAATTCAGACTGGAACAGATATAAAGATGGGACACTGGGATGATTGGGGAATACAGAGCCTAATTTATGAGAGGAGACTAAGAGATATTGGCTTTATCCTAGCAAAATGGAGGCTGAGAGGGATACAACTGCTCTATATAAATACATGGGGGCGGGGGGAGGCACGGTGAACACGAAGGATGGAGAATAGAGAATACCTATTAATGCTGCAGGCCAACATTAGTATGAGAACAAACGGGTATAAACTGGCCATGAATACATTTAGACTGGAAATTAAAAGAATGTTTCTAATCATCAGAGGTGCGAGGTTGTAGAACAGCCTTTCAACAGTAGCGTACCAAACAACCTAACTAGTTTTAAAACGAACTTGTTCAGTTTATGAATAGGATTATATGATGGGGTTGCCTGTAATAGCCGGGGATTGGACCTGATGGCCCAGGTGGTCCCTTCCAGTCTTATGTTCCTGTGTAAGGCTAACCAGCAATTCACAATCCAAGACAGCTAGGGAACCTCCAGTAACAGGACCTTACTGCCCGGGGCTGAGGCCTCTGTTCCACCTGCCCCACACCATCTCATATTGCCTAAATTTTATTTAAATGCCATTCACACAGTCTATTGTGCAGGGTACAAGCAGCTGTAAAGAGCTCTATATATCTCCTTCTGCAACAGCCTTCTGCGACTAGACCCCCATTTTCTAGGGCAATAATTGATCACTTTCAAAAAATTCTCCTGCATTTTCCCTTTCAAACATAGAGAAGTCTACAGTGCACCCACACTTTCCACCCCTTGTGCATGTTACACTATTGCCTTTTTGAAATTTTTGCCCTATGTGTCTTTACCAAAACTGACAGCTTCAGCCGGAGTTTGAAGTATCAGCAGCTGTAATTGAGCAACTTGCCTCAAAAAGGAGAGAAAAAAAGGGGAGGGGGTTAAAGAAAACCTTTTCAATCTCACCCTCTTTTAATCATACATGAGTAGGTAATGTTATTGAAATTGAGTATGTTAACTAAAAACACCTTCATAACAAACAGCTGCTCTTTCAACACCTTCAAATAACAAATGCCACTACTTGGTCTAAGGTTGTAAATGTCTCTTTCTGGACTTATATGAATTTTATTATATAAAGTTTCTAATGAGCTCTATTAAGTAAAGCTTGCAGTTCAGGATGAGCTTGGCTTCCTGAAGAAACACAGTGAGAAACTCCCTCTTTATGCATTATTCAGCCCAATTTGTATGCATCTCTCGATAAATCAATTTGAGCTCAAGGAATTAGGAAGCATATCTTTACTTCTAAGCTGAATTTAGACCATTTAGACTTGGGTATCCTTTTAGGATTCTTCATACTAGTTGAGACTGTGAGCAAAGAAAACTGATTTTGCCATCAGAACCAGTATTTTTAGCAGAGATCATAAACATAAATTGTTTGACTCAGTAGGTAGCTCTTGAATCACATGCAGTGCAAGCATGTGTCAATTAATACCACAAGGCCAAAATCCTTAGCTAACAAAAACATGAATCTATTTTCCAAGAGCTGTGACACTCAGGAATGTATGTTATAGGTGGCGCTAGTAGCACTGGCTACAATTAAGGTTCCCCAATACTTCTCATTATAAGAATATGTTTTCAACTGCTTATAAGTTTGCCAAACAAACTGTTTGGACTGAAATTTCCCAAGCAGGCTGAATATTTTTGTAAGGTTTCACCAAAAATAGTTCAACCATTTCTGTGAAGGAGATTAGGGAAAAATACATTATTTTGCCTGTGTTAAAAAAAAAAAATTCTCAAACATTTTGTTGAGAAGCTCTAGCACACTGCATACTTTGGAGAATGGACTTGGTATTTGGCCTGGGTATTGTTTTTAGTACCAGGGATATGCCTTTTACTGCTCTTGAGAAAAAAATGCCAAAGTTATAAACCTTGGAAAAATCTGAACGTGCACATGTTTTATAGAGACTTGCCAGAGCTTTCAGCTGAAATTCGTAAAGATTCTGTCTGCACTTGGCATGCTCCAACCCAGGGATGCAGGGACTGAGCAGGATTTTGCCTGCAATTGCTGTAGCACTGGACATCAGAACTGAGAACAAGGACAATATCTCTTCTGTGCTCTCAGTAATGCCCGCTTTGCTGGCACCCAGGCAGCATGGAGGAGAAAGCAAACTGATTTGAATGTAGACATAACAAGAGCTAGGCTGGGGGCAAGTAGCAGAGGGAGTAGATTCCAAAAAGCAGCCTGGGGGTAGAGGAGAACAAGACACTGAATGATGTATGAATCCTGTGGTAAAAAGGATAGGCTATTATTTTAATTAAAAAGACTATCATAATGCAAGTGCACAAGAGAACAAGAAGACTAAATTAAGATTTCACAGGCAACCTTAATTCCAGTGTTCCTTAACTTCTGAGTGCTTGACTTTGCAACCATAACATTCTTTTAATGTTGTTGTTTTGTATGTACATTTCACTTTGCAGAATATACCTGTTTATCTTGAATTTCCCCTTAAGCTAAATGCTAGTATCTCCCTAAAGAAAACTGATTACAAATTTTTTATAGAAGAAAAGTCTGAAAATGTTTCCTGGTAAAAGTTTTCTACACACACACACACAAAATACTTTGGACAGTAAATATGACAAATTTAGCTAATACAGCATACTACAGTTTGATCATTCAAACAGATCTGTACTTGGGTCTTATCTAATGCCCACTGAAATTAATGGGAAGATTCCCAAATGACTGCAGTGAGCACTGAAGCTGTTCTTGTAGAAGTAGCACAACCTTACCCCTTAACTAACCTAATTTATGTAATACAACATAACACCAAACAATTATTTCAAATACTGTAGTCCAGAACTGAATCTTCCTCTAGCTCAGTAGGATAGTATATGCTCTGTGCAGAAAAACAAATACCTTTGAAATGTTACTTATAAAATATTCCATTTCTCATCTTAATACAATATTTAAAACTGTCTTATTAATTCAGTTGCATTACACCAAAATAGTGAATGACTGACTGTAACCCACAAAAACCTCTTCTAAATCTTGTATCTTATGAGACTATCTGCAAATCCAATGAAATTTTTGTACCTTAACAACATTTTCTCTATTTTGTGACCACACTTGAGGTTGAATGCCCAATGGTCCTGCCTGTCCAGATTGCCAACGACAGCCACTTGATCGTCTAGGAAAAAAACAGTACCCTAAACTTAATTACTAAGCATATTTCTCCTGTAAATTGGGGTGGATGAATCATTTTCCCAATATGCAGATTTGTAGTTAATAGCAACAAATAGGATACCAGAAAAATGAGGAAAAAATCATCTCTGTAGAAGCACTGATTCCTGAAACATAACTCCCCTTTAATTTTGATTGCTTTCATGTCAAGATTGAAAACCTGAAAGACTGACAAAGTAACTCTTGTTGGATAATTTACCAAACTAAGTATTTTTTTTACTGTCATATATAAACCTGCACATTACATTAGTTTCCTGGATGTTTACAAGTAGTTTGCTTTAATGACATGCCCCCAGAAGTAGATATCATTCCACTGTGAAAACTATCTACCCAGACAGTTGCTTTGACAATATCCATCAGCTTTTAAAATCCCTTCATTGTCTCCCATGCCAATTTCCACAGCAGATTTATGCTTGTTGTTACCTTCAAGGTCCTGCACAATTTAGTACTATTTGCCTTGTCATTTAGCTCTCTTTCACCTCAACCAACACACACAACTCAGTGCTTCTTTACTATCCATCTCCTTGCCTTCTTTCATGCAGCTCCTAAGCCTGGAAGTTTCCTCCTGGATCTAGTCTACTATGATTCTATACTCTCTTCTCTCAAAACATGCTTCTTCCACAAGATCCATAAATCCTAGCCCTCAGCTCAGAGAGAGAGAGAGATGGAGTAAGAAAAAGTGCAAGAGAGATTTTAAAAATTGTGGAACTAACGTGTGTGCCTAATGTCAATTCTCAGTCGTCTACTTCTCTTGCTTTCTCCCCATCCCTTCTGTCCTCTACCTGCTCTCTCTTTAAGTAGGAATAAATGTAAATAAGATCCTGTGTCTTTGTTTTTGCCTGAAAAGCGTTTAGTACACGATCAGTGCTACATAAATTGAAAAATTAAGAACAGTAGCAGCACCTCTACGATAGCCTATCTTGAACTGATTAGTTTTGAGGAGCAGCCAAGCTGGTGGTCTCAGTCTCAACATTTTGTCAACGCATAAAGGCAACTAGAACCCAGCTTTAATTGCTCTGAGAAAAAGGAATTTAGAAATGAATTACTATGATCCAATGCAATTAATAGCACTTAGTGCTCAAATAGCATTTTATACCTTTTAAAGTACTGTACAAACATTAATGAATTTATCCTTATAACACCTCTGTGACGCACGAAAATAAGTATTATCCACATTTTACAGATAGGGAAGCAGACACAGAGGTTACAGTTATTTGGTAATGTCACACAGTGAGTCACTAGCAGAGCCAAGATTTGTCTACGGCTCGGCTCGTTTCACCAGACAATGGTACCTTCCTAAATGGGTTCTTTCCATCATATATAAAACTATTACAATGTTCCAGTCCTTTTGTGATGTTATGTACATGCATTTAACTCACTGAAACAGTGACAAAGTGAAATACACTAGGAGATACAGGGTACTGATTGGCTGATTTAACTCCAACGTTACAATTTCACTGGGAAAAAAAAAGAATGTCGGGGGGGGAAGGAAACTGGCTGGCAGTTCTAATATCATATTCCACTGGGGAGGAGAAATAGAAATGATTGTGACATCAGAAGTAAATCAACCAATCTCACAGGAGAAACTGTAAAAAAAAAAAAAAAAAAATACCCACCAAGCAAAAAACATGCTTATCACAGGACAGCTCGAGGCTGTGGAGAGGAAAAGAAAAGAAAAGAGGAGATAAAAGACAGAATAGGGTAAACAAATAAAAAAAGCAGGGAAAGGAAACAGCTCAGAGGGAATAGTGCAGAACACTACCAAAAATGCTAGTCTTTAGATGGGTTATCCACAAGTGATTTTTCAAAAGAACACGCATCTCATTGGGATTCCTTGATTTTACAGTTAAAAATTCCAAAGAAATTTCACCTACTCCCTCCTCTCTTCTTTTTCTCTGCTCATATTAGATTGTAGTTGCTGTAGTTTCTTCTCCATCTCCTTGTTTTCTAGTTCTAACTGTACTTTCTCCAACTTCAGCTCTCGTACATTTCTAGAGAAATTAAATTGAAACATTCAAATGTGTATTAGCAAGAAAATTATAAAGACGTTGATCAGAACATGAAGGAGAATGAAAACAGATATCTGAATACATTTTAAGCAGTTTTAACAACTTTTAATATTGAAGTATGTAATCCGTATCCCCCATAGCAAGCCTAAAACTCCAGCTCTGACAACTACACCATTTGTCAGACAGGGCTATTTTCAGGGCTAAAACAGCTGTGCATGCCCAGGAATGCTTAACCACAAAAGAGGAGTTTGCTGGAACTAGTAAGCTCCCTCGCTCCCCTGAACTTGTGGATGAGTGACCAGGAGAGATGGAGATCTACTCCACTCCACTCTCCTCAGCCCCTGCGTGACCTGAGTGGATTCAGGCATGTAGGAGGAGAAAAGAAAGGGGGATAGGCATGCCCTTCCTCCAACCTAGGGCTATTTTCAGGGCTAAAACTACTTAACCAGCAAAGCCTTCCTAGTATGGACACAGTATAGTAATTAAACTGTGTCCATACCAGCACTTATACTGGTATAGCCATGTCATTAAAACAAGCAAAACAAAACATATCCCTAACCAACATAGCTATTCTGGTAAAAGTTTTAAGCCTAGACAAGTCCCTTAAAGCACAAAGAATTTTGAAGACCAGGGAGTAGATTTTGCGCTGCATTCTGAAGTGGACAGAAAAATGGACCCTGGAGATTTCTGAGGCTTGGAACATGTTCAGTCAGGGGATAAGCCACTATATTTTGAACAGAATGAACTTTGGGAGATATCAGTGGGGCAGGGGGAAAATGAATGGTCACCATCAAGAAAGTGAGGATAGGATAGATTTAGGACTTGCCTACTTTGAAAAGTTATAATGGTAATGTTATGTGGGTTAGGGGTGTGATTTTTTTTTTTTTTTACCAACATAGCTATGCTGATATAAGACCCTATGCGGTAACTGCATCCATACTTGGAAGATTTTGCTGGTTAACTATGCTGGAAAACCCTCTATAGGGTACACAAGGCCTTAATAAAGACAGTATATATTAGATAATCTGCATAGCAATAATTCCCACGAATAAATTCAGTAAGAAGGTTAAAAAAAACCTAAGGAGGAGGAGGCAGATAAGAATAAGAGCCTGGAAAAACAGTAGTAGAGAGACATATCTATGATTCTTACTTTTGTGCAAACATAACCTCATACTTAATGTTGCATATAAAGTTATTAAAAATGTAAAGTCAACATTTCTATCATAGTCAGAAGAAATGCACTTACTTCACTTTTAATTTTACGGAAGTTCCAGTCTTTGAACCTGGCAGTATTACAAAGTCATTGATGTTCATGATTCCCAGTGCGAACTCTTCTCAAAAAAATCAGAATGATTTGTGAAATTCTTTGTGGTTAGTAACCTGTTCAAATTGAACAACCGGATTGCAATTAATATGTTAGAGCATTGTAATAGTTTTTACAATTTTTAATGTACAGGAAAAAGAGTTGGAAAGCAGAAATGCATTATATAATATGGCAATAAAATGCTAAAGAAAATATAAATTAAACTAAAATAACTTTTAGAGCATTTATATGAAACTCTGGGCCACATTCCATTCTCAGTTACACCCATGCAAATCCACTGAATACAATGTGGTTGCATGGATTAACCAAGGTTGAACTTGGTTCAGTATTTAATAAAACATGGCTTTCTTGAAGACTACCTATAGAAAAGATGGACAAAATAAGGTCCAAATACCAGTGCTAAAATGAGCACTAACAGGCGGCAAAGTCAGAATAAAATCACAGTAAAGTATTAGGGAAGCTGAAAGCTATCATATATCAAGCACAAATCCATACAAAATGGTAACTATATGTTTTTTTTCGGGTTTCTGCTATACTCTCCAGAATCAAAGATCTTGACTATACTTTCAATTTTTTATGTTTATTCTTTTAATCTCAGTTATGACATGCTCATGTGATCCAGTTTCAACTTTGTAAAGACAAAACCATAGCATGGGCATGTCTATATGTGTCATGACACTAATCATGTTTATTTCATTGCATTTTGGGAAAAGTCTCACAATCAGAAGTACGAGCAACCTGAGAGACAATGCACTCTGGCATGGCCTACTACCAAGATTTCTGGAATGGCTGAAGATCATGTTGTGCAGACATGGTTTAGAGAGTTCCAACTACATAGTAGAATGACATTGTTACAGCCTAACCACAGGAATACAGCCATAAGCCAGCCTAGGATGCTGGCAAGGATGACTCATGATTAGCAGTCACAGTTTCTTAATGCACACTAAACACAAACCATCTTTAGAGCCAATCATGTTGCTAACTGGTTAAAAACTTGGTTAAAAGTCCTAGTACAGAAGGACTGAAAATGGTGACCATTTTAATGCTGAAAGAAGTGTCAGAAACATGCACCAAGTGCATTTATCTAATGTGACTGGATGCCCTTGGCAAGACTTGATGCTCCATTCATCTCAATGGATGTTCAATAATAAAAAAAAAGAATCTGCTTTCAGAGGACGTGTGTTCTAGCAGCAGTGAGGCAGTTAAACAAGCTGGCACAGCTATTCTACTTTTGATTCAGACTCTGAAGATTTATGAAAAATTAAAAACCCATACGACAAAGAACTGAGGCCAGTTTAGTGGCCTCAAGTAGTATTTTTTAAAACTATATTTCTAAGGCATTGTTTAGATTTAATGCCTGTAACACCGTTGTGACAGATATGGCAGTTGTCTACAATATTCCTGAAGAAAACCTATTGAACTATTATCTGCTGATTACCTGTTCCTGTAGTCTCAAAATCAAAGGTCTAAGATGTATAAAGAAAAAACTAACCTATTCATGGATATTCTAGTTCTGAATCTGAGACAGCTTTGAATTTGTAACCACTGAGAAAACCTAGCTGTGGATCTCGAAGGCTGACACTACCAGAGGTTGGAGTTGGGATGACTTCTGCTAAGCTTTTTAGCTTGCACAAAGGTTCTTTTATTTTTTTTGTTTAATCTTTTCTCTGTAACGCTTTCATATTAAGAATAAATGTGCTTGTTTAGCAGGGCCGCCCAGAGGATTCAGGGGGCCTAGGATCTTCGGCAGCAGGGGTCCTTCCACTCCAGGTCACTTCGCCAAAGACATGGAGTGGAAGGACCCTCCACAGCCGAATTGCTGCCGAAGACCCAGAGCGGATGAAGCGACGGCGGGTCCTTCACTCCAGGTGTGTTCGGCAGCACTGAAGGACCCCCGCCACCAAAGTGCCACTGAAAACTCTCCTGGGGGGCCCTGAAAACTCTCCTGGGGGGCCCTGAAACTCTCCTGGGGGGCCTGGAGCAAATTGCTCCCACTTGCCCCCCCCCCCCCCCGGGCAGCCCTGTTGTTTAGGAAAAGTTGTATGGTAACTTATAACTGTTGCCAATTACACTGTTTATAGCCTCTGGAGAGCAAGCAAAGCGCAGACCTGGGCCTGTTCAGGCAGTCTGGCTTGCTGGGAGTATTACAGTGTAGGCAAGGAACTTTGCAGCCTGGAAAAAAATCATTCAGGAGGGAGAGAGATGTGGGTCTCGACCCAAGAGATACGATGGCTGAGGACCCAGGAGCCTACAGTGGGTGCCTTCGAGGCTTTGACCATTTTCTTTGAAGAAAACCTGTAATAAATTATTATGCATTCTGTCTGTGCATAGGTCATGATATCACAGTACAACAATGGAAGGCAAAGTAAATTCTTAGTCATTCAAAGTAAATGTTTACAAAAATACATAATCTGAAGCACTTTATGTAAAAGTAGAATTTTCAAAACAATTCTCTTTACCTTTAGCAAGTCACCTTAGGACGAGACACTAATGACCTGGTGCTGTTAGATGTATTTTTTGAAGCACCAGGTTGTTCATAAAGATAATCAGAGACAAAACACTTGACTTATTTTGGAAAAAAAAACACATGATTTCACTTTACAATTATTTACTATACAACTGGCAGTAGCAAACACCCCACTAACAGTTAAATAAAGATTTCACTGCTACACTGTTTTAGTTACATATCAATGGTATAAATGTGACATTTTACATTAACTGCACAACACTTCAGTTAATATGGACCCTACGCTGAAATCAGATCCATATGAGTGGACTTTTACAACCACGTAGTACTCCACTGACTTCAACGGGACTCCGCCTGAATGTAAAAGTATATTCATTTGGATCCAGTTGCAGGTTCAGAGCCATAGGTCGCAAAATCTTAGGATATGTTTTAGATATTTAAAAGCTAATTCAAAAAAATTGCAAGCAGCTATGCAAAGATTTCTGAGTTTTACTTATACAAATCCTGCGTGTCTGTGTATAGCTTTATCAAATGAAAAGAGGTACTTGAGTGGCAAGCAAAAATTTCAAATCATTTCTTTCATGTTGTGACTTACAGTTGAAAATTATAAATCTTTAGTGCATGCTGCTATAAAGAAGCATGTAGGAGCAGGAGTTTGCACAGCTGCGTACTAGTTTCCTTCTTGCACTGAAGTTTAATCTTGTAGTCTTCATTTTAGTAAAATGCCCAATGAAATCCCCTCTCCTTTTGTCAGCCAGGATCCACCAGTCATGCTTGCTCTCCCTCTTTCACAGCAGTCTTTTTTTAACTTTAAAGGAAAATTTTATTTCCAAATATCCTTTTACTGCTAATTGGAATCCTAGCAAAAAGAAACTCAGAAAAATATCTCCTTCCTATATTTCATTCTCACCCTACCTCCCCCACTCACTTTTGGGCATTTACATCTTGCTACCTAGTCTCTTTCTCTGATTACTGCATGTTCCTAAAGCCTCTTTGCCGTGCTGCCTCCTCACCCCATTTTGTTTCCATTTCCCCATTTTCTTTCTTCCATGGGTCTTCCAGGATCTTCCCTATTTTATCTCCCTTTCACTTTCCCCTAACTTTAAAGGACATAGTTGACACCAATCTTCCCTCTTGCCAAGGAAAGATGGAGTGGCTTCCTTCAAAGTTTGTCAATGTTTCTTTCAAAAGTTTACACATGAATATTGACTTAATACAGCTTTGAAACTTTACTATACAAAAGAAAAATGCTGCTTTTAACCATTTTAATTTAAACAAACACAAAAACAGTTTCCTTACTTTGTCAAATCTTTTTTTAAGACTTTCCCTTTTTCTTAGTAGTTTACATTTAACACAATACAGTACTGTATAGTATTTGCTTCTTCTCCCCCCCACCCCCACGCCCGCCATCTCTGCTGTCTGACTACATACTTTCAGCTCCAAATGAGATGTGTGGTTGACTGGTTAGTTTGTAACTCTGGTGTTCTTATGTCTGAGGTTCTACTATATTTCTAACATTAAAACACTTTCAGGCACCTACACTTGTGCTGAAGACTTCCCAAGAGAGGGCCCTTGAACTTCCTCTGCCTATTTCTTAGGCATTCAAAACCTCAAACAAATTAAACTCTTGCCTTTAGCAATTTCATTAAAACTAACTCTTCTCCCAGCTAAGTAAGGTTCACAGGTTTGGTTGCTCCTCGGATTAGCTCTGGAGAGACAGGAGGGAGAATTTCAATGAACTTGTACAGAGATGCAACATAACCTGAATCATGAGTTAGACTTATTAAAAGTCTCATGTTTCTCTGTCCATAATGCACACAGCACTGTAGGTGATTTACACAGCAAAAAGGAAAAATAGCAGGGTGAGCAGATGTCCCGATTTTATAGGGACAGTCCCGATTTGGGGGTCTTTTTCTTCTATAGGTCCTATTACCCCCTCCCCCCTGATTTTTCACACTTGCTGTCTGGTCACCCTAAAAAATACTATAAACAGCATTCAGCTGTACCTCCATAAAGGGTGCGTTTCCATATACATGTGTAGGACTGTCTCTAGGGTACACCTCCCCAATCCCTAGGGACTCTAATGCCCCCCCGGACCTTGCCCCCTCCCCCGCGCGCACTCGCACACCCCTCACCCAGGGGGCTGCTGGAAACCAAGCATCCATTCCCCCCCTCCCCCACAACCTGCTCCCGTGCTCCCACACAGGGACCGCCTGGAGTCCACTGCCTACCCCATCTCCGCTCCCCTCCCGGGGCCTGTGCCAAGGCTCCCACCACCCACCGCTACTGCCCCTCCCCCGGTCTGCTCCAATGCTCCCCCCGCCCCCAGAGGTCTGCTGGGGTCCGCTGACTGGCCACCTCCATGCCCCTCCCAGGGGCCCCGCCCGCACGCGGGAGCCAGGCACCTGCTTCCCCGCGGCCTAGGCTCCGGCCGCCGCTGCCTCCCTGTCCCCGAGCTGAAGGGGCGGCTCGCCCAAGCTCCCCTCACCCACACCTGCTGGCGCGGCTCCAGCGCCGTGCGCAGAGCGACCGGTGTACGCGGTTCCCACGACAACTGCGACGCGGAATGTACCACTGAGACTGCCGGGAGGGTAATGCGGGGTTAGGGGAAAGTCCATTCTGGGCGGCAGGAGGGGGGAGGTAGAGGCGAATCCATGTTACACTATGGTGAAGGGAGGGGGAGTGCTCGTTTCGTGACCCTGCTGAGCAAGGGATGCTCCCCTGGTGCCCAATGGTCCAGGCCATGGCTTGCTAGTGACTTTACCTAGAGGAGTTTTTAGTTCTCAGGCAGCGCTTGCAAATAAGCACCGAGCAGCCCCTCGTAGCCCAGGGACCAAATACACCAGGGCCCTGAGCCCCACCCTGGCCTGCTTAGGCCCACACCAGCTGGGTAACACGCTATTGCCCCCAGCTGAACACGCAGCCCCCACTTAATGCAGTGCTTATCATGCATGCGGCCAATACATCCATCAGTGCGGCTACCCCCACACAAATCACATCAAGGGATTCCCCGACCCTGTATTGTCAGCTCCAGGTGTTCAAAAACCGGGATGCAGGCTACCAAATATCATGATATGACTTTTAAGTCTCAGATTTCTAAAAAATAATACATTTTGGGTTCTTTGTACGGGCCTGCTGATTACTGAATTTAGGGTGCACTAGCTTCATGTTCCCAAGCATTTCTCTCCAAACATGAGGACTTAAAACTTACATTCCACACCTGCCCAAACACACCCCTCCACCCTCCCCCCCGGAAAGCTGAGATTCTCATGTAGTACTTTGATTCTAGCAGCTGGGAGTTTAAGAAAAAGCATTGTGAGACTTGCAATGAAATCATGAGATTTGGTAAAGCTATCGCTGTTGCCCTCAAATCAGTTGGTCTTACTCCCACCACATTATCGTAATGCTGCACCGTCTTCCCCCCATCCAAGAATTCAGTTTGTACCGGCCCCATACATAGAGCTCTCTGTGGGAGGCTTAGGTGTCCTCCTTCCAGAACTAGAGGAGGAGGCTAAGAAGCTGTGAGGCATCTTGCAACCAGAACTTATCTGCTACCATAGCCACTTGTATGGTTGGCTCCCCTCACCCAGATGTTACTACACCAAGCACAGGGTTCCTCATATGTGTGGGTGCCTGTGCCACCAATGAGTGGGATGTTTGTACCCTTCTGCACTACATAGAGTTGAGGGGACCTCCAGATCATTTCATCTGACTTCATCTATCACAGGCCACCAACACCACCACCTAGCACTTGAACGCTGAACCAAGCACCCAAGGTGAGACCAAAGTATTACAGCCCACAAAAGACTAGACTTTTATGTGCCACAAGCAGATAATTGGAGGGATAAGGTACACCAGTGCTCAAGGCTTCCATAATGGCAGGGAAATGATTAAGTGAAATATACTCAGATAATCCTGACAAGTGACCCACATCCACACACTGGAGATGAAGGCAAAATAAATGAATAAACCCACAAGATCACTGCTAATGTGACCTGGGGAAAAATTCCTTCCCAATCCCACATATGGCGAGCAAAGCCTGAGCATCTGAGCAAAAACCAGACAGCCAAATCCCTGAGAGAAAGAATGATTGGAGCCACTGCACAGCAGGGGGCCCACCCCACCCAATGTCACAGCAGATTGGTTTTATGAAGGGATCCCCCTCCACTTCCACAGCTGCAGAGCTATTTGGCCCATGGCATTCTACTCCAAGCAGCAGTGGCAGTTGACCCCCCACTGCAAACCTACCAATGGTGAAGGCAGTACTGGATTTATCTTTCTCCAGGCTTTGTAACTGATACGGTGCTGTGTTCTGCTTGGTTCACACTGGGAATATTTTCAAGTGCTATTTTATTTTAATATGAAAGTTTAAATTCTTCAGCAGTTGATGGACTTAGCTGGGTGAATTCCTACAGTCAAGGGAATGGATTTAGGCCCTGGAAAAGGGTATGTATTGAGCTATGCTGCTCACCAGGGTGATTAAGAAATTCTCTAGCCTGGGTCAGGAAGTAGATTAGCAGTTTCCAGTTGTGTCTTTGATGGCCCTATTAACAATTACATTTAGAGTGTTGATGACCCTGATGGGAACTGAGAGGCATTCTGTACTCTAGTTCACGATGGCTTCTGGGATATGCTTGCATCAGTTGTGTGCTTCAGTTAGGCCAAGGAAGGTCCTCCTTGGCTGACAAATCCTATGTTCAATAATTGTGTTTCTTCTATCTGAGTCAAGGTTAGCTTAGCCCACCTCCCACTTTCCCTCACTTCCGTAAGGAGCCTGGTTGCATCCATGGCAGCATGATGAATCCAGTAGCTGATGTAGCCCCCAATCTGTATTGGAAAATACTGGAAATACCCTCCTTCCAACCACCCTTCCTCCCCATCCATGTTTTCTACTCTATCTGTTCTCTCACCCCCCTTGAACCCAGTCCTAACACCGGGACTCATTGCAAAGGCTTGTGTCTCTCTTTGCAAAGGTTTGTGTCTCTCTTTCACCCATGCTCCTTAGGTCTTTTTTTTTTAAAAAAAAAACTATTTAGGAGAAGCATCTTTGGGTGCACTGTGTCTTGAGAAGCCAATAAATAACTGATGGCTGAGTGGCTTAATCTGCACCTGCATGCCCCTTGCAACGCTTAACTCCAAACCTACCTGGCTGAGGACATAGAAGCATCTAAGTGCTTTTCAAAGTCTCAAATGAGCTGTCAGCCCCTTAACTGCTCGCAGCACCATGCTTTTGGAGTGATCAGCCCTCACAGAGCTTGGGAAACTTGATCATGATAAGCAAGCTTTTCTGGAAATTCCCTGATGCGGTGAGCCCCATTTGGGATGTGCAGCAAGCCACTTGTGCCTTCATAAACTTTTAAAAATTCCAGCAATGGAATTTATATGCCTGCCAGTGAATAATGACCCCCAAACCATTTCCTCAAATGATGGCTAAAATGCATGGCAACACACTCATTTTTAAATCAGTCGTATTTCCCAGTTTATTTGCTTCAAGCCTAGCTCTGCCAATTTTGCTACCAGACCACGATTTATAATTGATGTTCCTTTAGGGAAAAGCCAATCTTTACAGAAAATGCCTTTCCTGGCATTTCAGGAAAAAGTGCTTCATTTATGATCCAAGCCAAGTGTTAATAAGTGCAAACTACTGTCTGTTTGAGATTTATGCACTGTGAGCTGTACTTCATTTGGAAAATTTGCATTTGTCCCTTATGCATTCAAACTGGGAGGCACAAAACAAGTTACACAGTTTTTCTTGACTTCTTAATATGTCTGGCAGTATTTTTTCCTTCATCAACTTGGTTACAGTACAATTTTAAAGATTTTGTACCAACAGGCAATTTTGTGATGAGAGTCTGTGGAAACTCATGTGCTTACTTAATCTTAAGAAGGGACCCTATTCTGCATAATGTGTGAAGCTAAAACTATTAAGTATACTCTTCTCTCAAACTCATATTGGATTGTTTTGTGTTTCACAATAAGTGTGGGTGAAAAAGCACAATAGATCATTACTTTTAACTTATTTTACACTGAAAAATGTTTCCAAGGGTGATAGAAACACACTGACTACACCTAAGAAATTAGTGCTCTATTACTTGTATAAGAAGATGAGCAATGTGTATTTCTGGTATCAAAAAACATTTGTTTTAGAGATGCTGTGCCCAAAACAAACATCTTTTTTTTAAAAAAAGTGTAAATACATAGTGAAATATTAGCTGGGGAAAGCAATAGCCTCCTGTAGCCCTGTTTATATTATGGGTGGACAATGGATATATTCTGAAAACTATGCCTGACGTATGGTCTGGAATACAGTTTGGCTAGCATGGTATAATTGTCTAACACAGTTGTAAATAAAAAAAAATCTTGCTACCAATAATTAGATAAATGCAATTGTTAACTCGTTTTCAGGTGTTATGTGACATTAACTTTCAATGACAAGTATATAGCTAACCTGTTTGTTTTTGTTAATGCATGTGAAAGACATACTTCACATTTCAATATCATTGAAAGAATGTCCAAGAATACCTTTATTTCAAAAACTGGGAAGGCAGTCAAACCTTTCTTTCAAATTGTATTCTATGAGAGGAATTCACACAACACTCCTCTCTGGATAAAGTTGGAATCGGTCCCTGTAAGTTGTAAAGATTCCCATTGACTTCAGTGGGCTTTGGATCAGGCCCCATAGCTGGAAGATCATCCAGAGCCTCTAACTCCTTTATGTAGAGGATTTGGAACATTTTAATACATGGGGCATTCAGTGGGGCAGTGAATTTAGAGCTGGAATTTTGAACTTCAGCAAATTTCACCATAAACATGTTTAGATCATTTATGTTCCATTCACAATATTTTGTGCCTTTCCTCTGCTGCTCAATTCTCATTTTTGTTTTATATGTTTAAATTTGACTTTTACAATCAAATGTTGTTTTTCATTTTTGGCAAGTTTCAAAAATGCAGATTACATAAAATAGATAAATGCATTATTTCCTCCAGGTTTACTTTACTTGAAAGTAAATATACAGTCAAAGTTCAGAAGGACAAAACTGAAATTCAGCTAAAATCCATCTGGTGGAGTTGTGCTATAAGTTATAAACTATCCTTGTTTTTCCAGGCTCTTAAAATGCCATTATGTATCTTTGTTTCTAATCTGTTTATGATAGGTAAAACCAGGTTTGTTATCCTGGTGCTTTTTTATACTCAATCTATACTGAAAATATTTTGGAATAGTCTTTTTAAAACTGTAACCTGTAGTTAGAAAGGACTCAGGAGTACAGTGTTATAGATTGGGGCAACTGCACCTGTATTACTCCTCCATGGTCCCTCACAAGGAGGCACTCTCTGCTCCTCATGCCTCAGCTGTCACCTCTCTTGGGCAGGAACCTGCATCCTTCTCCCTCTTGACCAGGGTGTTAAGGCTGCACAGTTCCCTACCTACACTATGATATTCCCAGCAAGCCACACTGCCAAAACAGGCCAGC